GGGAGGGGGGGGGGAGGGAATAAACGGTCAGAGTGAAGCAATGAATGGCAAGAATGAATGTGGTTGCTTGCATGGTTTCGTCTTCGCGCACGAAGGCCAGCGAGGTATGCCTCGATATCCAGCCGGTGTCTGTCTATTTCGTTTCTCTGCTTGGGTATCTTTCCGTCATACTTACCGAAAGGTGAGCGGTAGGATTGTTCGAGCTATTCATGGCATGTGCCTCAGGGGTCATTGTTGGAGTTCGATAATGGTGACGCTAACCACATGTTGTTTGTTGCACTGCTCTCTCTCTCTCTCTCTCTCTCTCTCTCTCTCTCTCTCTCTCTCTCTCTCTCTCTCTCTCTCTCTCCCGCCCCCTGTGGTTGTCTTTTCGCTGCAGGGATCGGTATTTGACAATCTGAAGCCTTGCTGTCGGAAGCATTGCTGTTGAGTCCAAAGCACTTTCGGGAAAGATGGGTCAGTTTTTTGCGGGCTTGGTCCTGCTTGCTAGCGTCCTCCACCTCGCGGATGCCACCGGTGCGAAATGTCCCTGCTCCCCTGGGACGAAGCGGTGCACTCCCACGGGTCCGTGTGTGAAGTGTTGCAAGGACTGTGATTGCGGCAAGGGGAAGAAGTGCGTCCAGGGAGAGTGCAAGCCTTCCTGCGCCTGCCCGGATGGACTGAAGCGCTGCGTTCCCAATGGTCCCTGCGTGAGATGCTGCAAGGATTGTGATTGTGGCAAGGGAATGAAATGCGTCCAGGGACAGTGCAAGCTGCCGTGCTGCCCGAAGGGACTGAAGCGCTGCGTTCCCAACGGTCCCTGCGTGACGTGCTGCAAGGACTGTGACTGTGGCAAGGGGAAGAAGTGTGTCCAGGGACAGTGCAAGCCCTCGTGCGGCTGCCCGGCTGGACAGAAGCGGTGCGTCCCCAACGGTCCCTGCGTGAAGTGCTGTAAGGACTGCGATTGTGGCAAGGGGAGGAAGTGCGTCCAGGGACAGTGCAAGCTCCCGTGCTGCCCGAAGGGACTGAAGCGCTGCCTTCCCACTGGTCCGTGCGTGAAGTGCTGCAAGGACTGTGAGTGTGGCAAGGGGAAGAAGTGCGTTCAGGGACAGTGCAAGCCCGCGTGCTAGCACTGAGTTGAAAGGCTTCTCAGTTTGCCTGCCGGGAAAATGCAGTGTTGTTTTCCGTGAAGCATTGCCAGAAACGAGTTGAAAGGCTTTGTTGCAAGCGACCTCGGGGTCTGCAAGTTCGGGCATTGTTGCAAGCGACATCGGCGTCTACAAGTTTTGGACCAAACTAACTAGTGAACATAGTATAGGCGTCCCTGGAGTCTGCAGTACGCATTGTTGCAAGGGACCTCGGGGTCTACAAGTCGCACTAAACTAGGTGTTGAACACATTGGTGTAGGCTTCCTTGGCTCGTAGGAATCAGCAGAGGACTGAGGTCGATCGGCATGCGCTGGGATCGCCTCCCGTCGATTACGGTCTTCAGTTATAATGACGACATGGAGGTAGGCTCATGACCAACAACAGCCGAGGCGACGGAGATGTTGTGGAAAAGTTGCACAGACTCTACTACAGAGAGTGACGGCACGCTGGTCTTTGTTTACTGCAGTCATGTGGTACCCATTTTTATTATTATTATTGGAACGTGAATAAGGCTTTGTGAGTGTTGTTCGGTTATCGTGTGGGTGGAGAGCTTTCGATCCACTACTAATAGAGAAGGCACGAGCGCGGAGTGACTTGGAACATTGTCCTGCTATTCTTTTGCAGATTGTTAGGCTCGACCCCGAAGGATCGAGCCTGATCTGCTTTTCTGCTTCCTTTTTTAATAATGAAATATTAAATACAGTTTCGCATGCCACCGGTTCCTTGCTTACGCGTCCGCTTTTCTGATGCGCTTCTTTTCTCCGCCGTAGAGTTGTTGATGGTTCTGCGGGGGTTGGGATAATCATGAGAGGGTAATAGATTGTGTTTTTCTTTTCTTTTTGTTTTTCTTTCACCTGTCGAATCTGGTCGGCCTTCCAGGCCTTTTTATTTTATCGTCATTATAGTATTACGGGGAACACGTAGTAGCCAGCCCGAGGTCAAGCCTCCAACCAGGGAACGTGTGCCTTATTGGCTAAGATCAAGTGCAGTATTTGTTTGATCAATAAGAAAAAGAAAAGATTATTATGGGTTATAAAAATGATGGTAGATTCTGAAAAGGCAAAGAAAGAATGCTGGTGGTATGCAAGTTGCGCAAAGAAGGATGAGGGTATAGAAATGACATTTAATTTATAGTTTTGGTTGAAATTTTGACTCTTATGTATAGGGTGTTTGGACCGTGTTTCTGAAGACATGAAAACAGATTGGTGACCTGAATAGTTTCTGTTTTTTTGTAAAACAAAATCGCTTTTAAGAGAAACAACTTGCATCCACTGCGGCCTCCCCGCAATGAGCGCGAACAGTGAGATATGTTAGGAAATCGCCCACAGCGGGCGGAAGGAAGAGACGAACACAAGGGAGGATGAAGATGTAACAGAGATGAGTAATGCGCACATAAGAGTTCGGTTTTCCCGTCATCAGAGAACCATCATGCACAGGAGCCCACTACACTGACTACAGTTAGACGAATTCAGCACATGTCTGCACGTGCCCGCAGTCACAGGACTCACGGAGGGTTCCAATGCAGGTGCTGTCCGACAGCGCAACTAAGTATATTGCACCCGATACCATCTTACTACTCCCCTCCCTCGTGAAGACAATGACAACTACAGCAGACGGAAGGTGCAAGGGGGGCTGTTGCAAGGCCCAGGTTGGAGAGGCCAAATTACAGAGATATGTTTAGGCAGGGGCCACCAGGGGCTCCGCTCACATTGCCTCCTGCGTTCCCACCTGTGTTCATGCGTAAGTTGCAGTGTGCGCCAATGTGCGCCAGTGTGCGCCGCTGCCTGCGTGACCGCCGACTTTTCTGCCTGTTGCTTGGCACGTCTCACTGCCTGCCAGTGGATTCTGCCAACTTTACCGCTTCTGCTATTACACAGTCTTCTCTCGACTAGAACACACGGTCGTTATAGCTGTGTCTCTGTGACAACTTGCCGTCTATGAATTGCCACTAAACATTCTTCCACTAGATTTCTAGTGATGGATACGTATGGTAACCCCGGTCCGGATCCTAAAAGTGG